TATTTCTAATTTAAATTTTAAACTGTTTATATGAATATTCAGTCGTGACTTATAAATTATATAACATTTTTGAATATAATTCATGAGTTAAAATTATACACAAGTGAATATTTAGTAATGTATGTATCATCATTTTGTTTAATTTGAATATAAGCTGTGAGTGTATAAATATTTTAAATGTCCGTATTTATGAAAAAAAATATAATACATGGGGGTATATTTAAATGATTTTATTTACTAATCATCATCTTTATGTATACTATTTATATCCCCACAAAACATTATAATATTTATTACACATGAATATTTTAACATTATTTTTGTTACATACGTTTTGCAAATATCTTTAAAAAACCTAGTGCATGCAAAATGGGCCGCACTATTTGGAACCGATTTAAGCCTCACGTGCGTCCGGCTTATGCTACATGAGTGCCTGTTATCAATATTTTGCAGTAGTGCGATTGTTGGAGCGGTTAGCTCAGATAGAATTTTTGCAGAGGTCACACTTTCAACTCGTGGATGCACTAGTTTTCCCTTTTAGTTTTCCAATACTGACAGCTGGGGCCCATGTGTCATAGGGGCGGAAAAAATAAAATGCATTCTGACACGTAGACAAGGCTCTCTTTTATGACATAAAAAATTCAAGGGGGCTTCGCCAAAAACAGGCCTCTTTGCCTTCCCTGCGCTGATAGCGGGCCCCATGCCACGATGGCGCACCAAGTCAGCATTGTTTTCGTATCAAACGTGGTTTGCACCGTATTTGCACGCCCGAGCCAAGTTGTTGCACCAGTTCAATGTATGCCGTAAGTTCTAGCACTAAAGTGACCGTTTACGCCAAGTTCTAGCACCACCAGCATAATTGACTCATATCATAAAGTAGTATCATAGATGATCATATTTATTGTCATGCATGACACAAAGTAGCATATCATTTAACATGATACGGTATCTATCTATATTACTCTAACCCCCTCTCTCGCTCTTCTTTAATTCTCTGTCACATCAGCATGTTTGCTATTCCTGAGTGCATGATACAGGTTAATATACCACCGCTATGGCCAATCTTAGCCATCCCCACCCTTGCCACCAACTAAATCCTCATCTCTACGGGCTGGATCTAACAGGCGTTGGAGACGACCAAGCCATCCTATATATAGGATAAAGTAAATTTTACACATGAATTGATATGTTGCTGGTGTGCCGACCGTGCGTGTCCAAAACAGATTAATTACAAAAAAGCTAACCGATGATCGTTAATTATGGGCGTTTTTGCAGCGACTCCCCATCCTCTGCCGGTTAC